TTTTCTGGACATAAGTGAAATAGGATTATCAACAGTAAGATGTAGAAGCAGGATGAGCAGAGCCCATGTGAAAAATGGGATAGGAAGGCTGTAAAGATTTTTTTTATACTTTCCTTTCTCCAAAACAACAAGAACAACAAAAGAAAATAATGATGAACAGTAGAAGAAAATATCTGAGAAAGAAATGCAAAGAAAGGTGATTGACTTTGGAGAAAGAAAAAATAGTGTATTTTGCTTTGGAAAAAACAGTTAAGGATGGCAACTGTCAGAAGAATAGACAGTATCAAATCTAATTAAGAAAAAATGTAGAACAACAGAAGTGACTAAACTTGGCAGTTAAGCAGAGGTACTGAAGATGTGCAATACTTCAAGACATAAAATTGACCTTTGAAAAGAAGAAAAAGGCAAGGCTGCACGTCTGACAGGAATAAAGTAAGATGTTGAGGTGAGTGGGGGACATGACAATTGCCAAAGTGTACAGTGAATTTTGTATGACTTTATAATGTTCTAAAGAGAATGGCATTATTGTTTCTGCAAATTTATGGGCGTTACTCTAGAAAGGAATGCATATAGGGGAAGAAATCACAACATTAGTCAAGACACTGAATACTAATGGAGAGAATAATAAGTATAGAACCAATAGAATTCTGAGAAACAAACTTGAATTTGTGAGGATAATATGTATATTGATCTAGAGAATAAAATATTGTGTTAGACAGCTGCCACATGTATGGTTTATTAAATACTGCCATGCTAACATATTTAGGAGAATGACAGAGAAACAGCTCTCAGAACTGTTGCTGGAGCCTATGAGATGCATAGAAAACGGTTCAATCAAATAGGAATGAAATGAGAAGCATAAGAGAAGAAAGGGAGAATGCTTTATGTTCCTGGAACATCTTCCCACATGACAAGCTGAGGAAGAAAATGGCAGATAGTGGTTAAATTGATTTAGACAAACCACATAAAGGTAGTTTGGAAATTTTATAGCCCAAATCCCAAAGCCAGAAGGAATTGAGAAGAGCTACATGGAGGATATATTCTTCTGAGTGAAACTTCTTTTTTGTATGAGACCATCAGAGTGAGGATGGAGTGCTCAAACTAACACCACAAAGTGCAGACAAAACACAAATACTCACTTTCCTTTTTTCTTGATGGCTATTTATGACCTTCTACACTTCACTGAAAATGCCAAAACCACTAGCTGTCAACAACATGTACTTAATATGAACAAGGGGAATTCATACAGAACATAAGCATGGACAGAATTTTTGAAATTCACTGGCTCTATAATTGTATAGTACTAACTGTACAACTACTCTGTCTCAATTTGAAGTTATTATTAACTTAAAAACTAATAATGATTCTTTTTGTTCACTTTCTATGCTATGCAGAAATAGGGACAATTTCAGTATATACGGATCTAAGTTTGACATCAAATATATTATACAACTGTAATAAGTATTTAATTGCAAAAATATATAAACTTTAAATCTGTGATTTTATCTAACATGTCTCATTTGCAAGGAGAGAAGTCAAAGTGGTATAGGAGCTTTTTGAAAGGTTACAGGACATATTTTATATATGGAGTGATATACAGAATGGTTCCTGTCATTGGAGATTTTTGACTACAAAACCAGCTCCTAAGCTTTTCAGACAAAATATATGTGCATACAAATATAAGAAATAAATGACAGTGCTACTCACAGCTCTGGTACAGCTGAACCTACTGAAGTTTCTAGATGCTTTAAAATTTACTTTGCTCAAATGTCAAAAATACTTGAAAATATGTTAGGAATTTTTATGGTATTATACAGTATGGTTACAGTATTGATACTAAGCAGGGTTGTGTTATTTGTTCTTTCACGTCATCTCCATACATTTTCTTTGCCATCTTGTTATGAAACAGATTTCTGAACAGTAATTTATTATCTCCTATTTTCAAAATGTTTTCCCCTTTACAAACACTAATGATACATTTTACCCAAGTGAGAATTTCAGCTTTAAAGTAATTTAAAACTAACTATTTTACTATGAAATCAGATACTGAGAAACTTTATGTTCACTACTTACATGATTAAAGGAGAGATTTTTAAATTATATTTTTTCTGGATAGAAATGCTTACAAAGCATTAGAGTGTTAAGATATATCAGGATTCATTCTTCAAGTATCTTAATTAATGATTTGTGCCATGGAAAACTTCATTCTTGCCTCAGTGACCTTCTTCACAGAAGAATAATTTCAAATGGGGGATGATTTTCTTCAGGCAACAATTTGGGCAGTTTGGGTCTGTATTCCAACTCTCATAATATTTTTCTTTTTTGTGGTTTGGGTCATTATACATTTTTGCCAGGCTTATAATAATTTTGTAAACAAAAGTATATTGTTGAGAAGTACAGAGGAGATATTATTTTGAAAAGCTATTAACAGAGCTAAGAGTTATTCCTTAACAGCCTCTTTCTAATTAGCTTTTAAAATTTTTTGCTTTCTTTAAGCTTTCTCAGAAAAAAAACCCTCAGCTTTATTACATACCAGCATGTTCACTCAGTAATCTGGTTTTCCAATAGGCAGCAAACATGCCTTAGTTCTTCACTAAGATTATAGGCTAGCTGAGGTTCCAGGCATTATTACTTAATGAAAGGCAGTTCAATATCAAAATCTCAGAATCTTTTCTCTGTAAGTTTCAAAACTGTTTACATTTATTGATACTTTTCAACTTTACAGAAATGTAATGGAACTTATGTTCCAAGCCCACACTTGTGCTTTTGAAAACACCTTCCATGATCAGTAAGTTAATGGGATTTTAACTTGGTATATTAATTTTACAATATAATTACACCTTTCTTATTAAATAATCCAAGCAGGCAGAGGAAGAACACAGCTTGCTTGATAGCAAAGAAGTTGAATTCTCTGAGTAAGTCTTCAACTAATTCACTCAGTGACACTGGATAACTACTGAACCAGCAGTTTTAAAAGCCAGCAGCTAAAGAGAGGTACTAAAAACACTTCAAGGAAAAGTTTTACATGGCCTGTAGGAGGCTCTGAATCAGCCCACAAATGGCTGATTAGTAAAATGTGCTGAGTATTTGCACTAGCTGCTGAAGTCAACAACAGATGGAGGAGTTGGCATCTGTGGACATAAGGCCACTCCTTCACATATCCAACTTTAGACATGCAAGCATGAGCATTTGAGCCTGAGCTTTGCATTCCAGCTTTTCAAACAGTAAAATAAGTCTTAAGGGAACCCTGTTCTCACGTGTTCTAGAGAAAATGCTATTTCATTATTCCTATTTCCTGACACATCAGCTGTGTCACAGACAGCCCCACATACAGACAAACACCAAACAGGCCCTTGGAGCTTTGCTCCCCTGGCAGTCCCATCTTCCAGCACTGGGCTCCCCTCCTGAGCAGCAACTTATTCCCACCCACCCAAGATCCCGGCCGCCTTGCCCAGCTATCTTAAACAATGCTGCTGCTCAGTCTTCTCCCCAACTATCTCTCAGCCTCCCAACAGCCAAATTTTGTGTCCTATTCCATACCTGGGAACAGGAGAGCCATGCCACTGAGAAAAATATTACCAGGATTTCCATTGTAAGAAAACAATTTACTTAAGTTTTGGTAAGAGCAAGACTTCATAGGGTGAAATCTTCCTTCTCTCTCATACACATGTGGCCACAGATAAATACACAGAAGTCTTGCAAAAAATGTTTTGCTCAGTGAATTCAAATGATACTGGAAATATCATGTCTGGAAATAATACTAATATCTGCAAACATTAATCAAGGAAATTTGGGATTGGAAGATGGGGAAGGAGATCTGGGCCTGGAAGTTTAGAAAGGGCTTGAGCTATGTTCAGAAAGAGAAATGCTAAGTAAGATGCACTGCCAGTTCTGTCTGTGAGGTAGAGAAACATATGCAAAATCATCATAGGAAAACAGGTAACTCCAGTGTTTGAATATTAGAAAGGAGCAAATTAATTAATATTTCCCCAGAATATGATTAACGCTTTAGTGGTAATTTGGAAACAACACCAAGCAGGAGTATTTAGAAGTGCAAATTGAGTACATATATATCATTAAAATATTCTGAATATAACAGCATTTTTAAAATTTCAGTTATAGTTGCATCAAACCCTATTTAATATTAATTAAATATTTAAAGTTGTTTTCCTCTTCTTTTTCTTGTGTGCTATAGTACAACAAAACTGAGTTTGCTAGCACAACAAAAAAAATGTTTGCTAGTGCTCCATTTGAGTGCTTTGAAGAAACTGATATTATCTAGAACCACCTAATAAAACAGTGACTGCAAATACAGTACAATAACAAGATAAGTATTATGTTGCCTTAATGCATAAGTAAAGAATCCATTTTTTGACCATTTGGCACACAGACCATTTGCCTAATGAAATCAGCTTTCCTTCCTCTTCAAAGTACTGCTTTGTATTACCATGGTTGGATGAAAATGGCCTTTTCACTGCCTCAAACCACTCTCTCTCCTTATCACAAGACTCAAGCTTAGTGCAGATTCAGTCATATAGCCAGCCTGATGCTGAAATAAAAAATCCCATTTGATTCTCTGAGTGAAAGGCTCCACAACTGAATTTTGTGCAGTAGGCAAAATGGTATTAAACTCATATGCTGAATTCAACAGATATGCACTGTGCAGTTTGCTTGTATGCACCTATTGAAGGCAAAAAAAAAAAACAACAAACCAAGGCCCCATGACATAAACAAGCTAAGGGGAAACATTACAGCACAAATTTTGCCCACAATCTCACTGATGGTACGTGTATAACTACTGGGAAAGTCTACAAAGGATGGAGAGGCTACATTCTGACCTTTTTGGGCATCTGCAATCTGAAAGCAGTGACATCACAGAAATTTAATATATTAGAATAAATAACTTTGATTCCAGTATTAGTATCTGACAAAAATTATATAGCTCTTCTCAAGTATTTTTAGTGAATTTATTTTCTTTCTTAAATATAGAATGAACAAACCTTGCCATTCAGCTTTGACAGATCATCTCCTCCAATTATCTGCATATCTTGCATAGACTGATCATTCTGAAAGATGAAAGATAAAACTTTGAAATTGGTTATAACAGTACAAAATAAAAATATAAATGTTACCTTTTTTTTTTTAAATCTTGATTACTAGTCTTAGTTATGAATATTTCCTAATGCTTGTTAGTATTGGTGTACAAGAAAATCGTACTCTCACTTCTTCCTGTGGCTTCCTGCATCTCCTGCTTGTTTTCAGCCAACATCAAACTCTAGGGTTTACTGGACTAGAAAAAGTTGCATCTTTCTTTTTAAAATAGTGTTCCCTTGCTTGCTATTTCTTAGTATGACAAGGGTTGAGTAACATATTTATCCCTTTCAAAATGGGAGGAAGGAGCATCTCAACACTTGACCAAATACCTGTAAGCACATTCTTGGTTTGGAACAGTTTTTGGAAGCACAGGCTAAATGTGCTTACATGTCAGCTCTTTTTGGAGGAATTAATCTTCTCCAGGGGAAAAAAAGTTTTGCAAAATTTATCACTTACTACCAAAAATATTTTTAGTATGCTATACAGTTTCCAGAGCTTTGTTTATTCAATTGACTCAAAGATAAAATCCTTGAGGTCAATTACTTAAACATGGCCAATGAGGTTGAACCAAATGCAACAGAATAGTATCTTTTGATTTTCCTGTTAAAAAAGTTATTTTTTGAAGAATTCTTTTTTTGCTGAATTTGTTTTACAGACATTTCTAGTTGAAATTCCTTTTGATGGAAAATTCTCAACCAGCTCTAGCTCCAATTTATTATGAGCAGAACATGAAGTTAAGATCACATAAAGGAGACACATGGAAGCCCTACTTTTAAGGCAAGACAAAAGAGGCCTCAAAGAAGGTAGCAAATTAAAAAATACACAGTCATGGCCAGGCTATATGAACTTTTCAGAAAAAGCAAGAACAGAACCATAGTTAATGTGGGTTTTTTTGACAAATTGATGCATGTGCTAATCTAATATTCCTACCCCATAGGAAGATAGCATTAGTCCAATTTTAATAATAGCTCCAGTACCACAATGTGACACTGTGGTTTACTGGTGACACCAGGAAGCTTCATCATTACAAACAACTGACAAATATACAATACTTGAATTCTCTGCTTTTATTACTAAATCCAGTGGTCTGAAGCCAAATCTTTTTCCACAGGTAAATAGTGGCACATGGGGACTTAAAATGTGGGTAAAGATCTACTGGACTAAGGGATTTATAGCTGTTCTTCTTCCCTTCCCAAAGCAGGACAAGCAGAGGCAGCACTCAGAGGGTCAGAGCTGCCCCCTGTGCAGATGGAACCACACCCGTCCATGCTCACAGCCCAGGTGGCAGAAGGGACTTCTGGGGACTTCCAAACACCTTTGCAGATATTTAGCCACAAGCAATCTGGTAACCCCAAGAACTATTTGTGGTCCTCATGGGAATGGACTGTATAAATTACTACAGCCTTCCTGAATAATTGTAAGCAAAGGTTGTTGAATTGCCTAGAAGAGAATTTCTCCAAGTTTGCATTCTGCAGACCCACCAAAAGGCTCCCTGGCTTTCACTCAAGACTCTACTCTCCACAAAACTCTCACACCACAGCTTTGTAAGAGGTCCTGAGCAGTCACTGCTTTAAAAGACAGTTTTTAGACCTGCCTTCACTTTTTCTGCACCGGATCTGGGAGCTTTAGATAAATTTCATGCTGCTCTGATCCGTTTCCCGGGAAACAGAGCTAAAGCAGCAACGAAGGTTACATTCCATATATTTTCTAATATAAGTTTCAATATTTCTTTTATTTTTGTAAAGAAAAACAGAAAAAAAAAAAAAAGTCCAAACAACAACAAAGCAAGTAACTGATTTCCTAAGAAGATTATTTTAAAACTAAGTAAAAAAAAATGGAGATTGAGAAGATTTTAAGTTCAGGCTTAAAAGCATAAGTCTTTTGTTGTAAAGCAAGACAGGTCACTCTTCAAAAGTCAGGCATGTATTCAAATCAAGACTATTAAAAGACTATAAAAAGCAGATTGTTTCTAGTATCTACCACAGCATGTGTAACCAAGGCACTGGCAAAATATTTTTTCATTTCCAAATGAGAAAGTGTAGAATTTCATTAGCAACCAGCACAGAAGAATTACTGAAGAGGCAGTTTGCCCTTAAGCTGCTAGTCGAGAAAGAGAAAGAGAAAAAAGATAATAGTGAGGTGCAATGATTAATGAATTTATTTATTTTTCACAAAAAAAACCAAAAACCTTTCTTTCTACAGTATTCACAGCAGCACTGTTTCCTTTGCATTTGGTATTTCTGGCTTCAGCTGAAAGGAAGATGCTGAAATAGCATCTTCATTGCTGGCAAGCAGCTAAGCAAACACAAAAGCCATTGAGAGCAGGGGGATCACAGCATCCCGTCAATCTCTGCATTCACACATCGGCTGTTGGGACACAACTGCACACATTTATGAAAATCCTGCTGTTCTGAGTGGAGAATGAGTGCTGGCAAAGGACAAGGCTGAGTATTCATGGTGCCTAAAAACCATATAATTTTCTATATGGTTTTTTATATGTAGCTCAGAACCCTCCAGACAATGTATTTTCAGAAAAAAATTAAAGAAATTCCTTGCATTACACTGAAGAGCAATTCTCTGGCTAATAAAAAAAAAAAAAACAAAAACAAAAACAAAAAAAAACAAAAAAAAACCAAACCAAAACAAAAAACCACCAAAACTCAGATAATTGATTTCAATGCCATTTATAACTATCTACATTTATCACTTAACTCATATTGTAAAATACATACCTGCCAAACAGCAAGGCTCAATACTATGATGTGACATTACCCTGATTATAATGTTCACATAGATAATTTGCACACTATGGTTGCCATGGGAACCTCTCAGTGATTTTTTTTTCTGAGTTCTCAGTTTATAATCTCAAAATAACACTGCACTAAATGTTAAGTATAAAGTACAACGAATGTCAGGAAAGAAATAAATCTTCTTCATTCAGTATGTACATACACCTAGTATGTAACCAATTAATGTCAATTCAGAACTGTTTGTCGAATTTTCATGGTCTCACGTCATTCAGAGCTTCTTTCTTCCTTTGTGAGTTGTTCCAACTGATATAATTGAGTCTCCGAGATTTCTTATAAATGCAGAAATATGAAGTTTCATTTTCTGTCGCCCAAAGTTCCTCAATACTTGTTTTCTAATATCCCTAAACCCCATCAACCCTTTTTTTTTAAAGATTTGACACTAAATATATTGGCTTGGATAGAGACAGCTCTAAATCACACTATATTTTGGTTAATGTAGCACAAAATTTATTGCAGCTGTTTCTGACAAGACATGATGCATTGTGTCAGATCCCCACAACTCATCCCAAGCTATATTGCTTTTTTTTTTTTTTTCGCTGCTTAATAAATCTGCATTTTCCAGAATAAATCTCAATTTCTTTGGTTTTAATTACTGGGTTGTGGTTTTTCACTTGTTCATCTTTGTTTCATAATTTTAGTTCATTCTAGGAATACTTGATTAATTAAAGCAAGAATTTTATTTCCACCACCATTTTTCATGGCATACAAGATAAAATTTTAGCTTTCTATGTAGATTGGAAGTATACATATTTAAATTCCATCTATACTAAGTCATGTGTTTTGAACTGGGTGGGGCACAGAATTATTACATCTCTTTTACATCTCTTGAGATCAACACTTGGACATAGTTCAAGTTACAAGTGAAATGAGTTGGGTGGTCTCAGGGAAATTCATTATAAACACCATTGCTCATCTGAAAATTGCACCAAACTGTGAACATCTGTTACTCTTCTGAAGAAGCAGAATCTGGAATACATTAATACTGGGCTCAGTGAAACAAAGCTTCTTTAATCATGACAAAAGAAACAGCTTTAACAGAAGAGAGCAGTAAATGCATAACTAAATTATGAAATATAGACTCAAGGTCGTTATCACACATCTAATTATTACAGTCTGCAGAGTTCATATGGAATTTCTTAAAAAATGTGGTTATCTTTTTCTCCCAAAATTCATCAAGGCAACTCAAAACAAAGAAGAATGTGACCATCAGGCCTGTTCTATGTTGGTTTTGTCCCCTTGGGTGATACAGCAGATCCTCCAACTTGGGAATTCCCATTCGGACAGCTCTTTCACTTGACACCACCATTCCACCTCCTACAACTGGGTTTTCCAGGAAGGTTTTGACCAAAAAGAAGTCAATGACAGACCATTCAGTTGTCACTTGGATCCTAGTATGCAACTAAATTGCTTTGCAACCTGCCTCCTGAGAAATACTTCAAAATATGAAGAAGTTGCTGGGGAAGTGTCAATATAGCATCTACAGGATCTGTTAACCTATTCTGGCTAATAGGTAAAGTCAAACTGATATACAAAGTACAGGCTATGAAATATCCTCAGTGAATCAGCAGAAGTTGAGTGGTAGTATATAAAATGCTGTACTTAGAAACAACATCCACTTGAATCAGTGATGTGGACCACTTCCCAGTAAAGACTGGAAAGTTTGCCTTCCCTTACCCAGAATCAAATGTATACCAAAGGCCAGACTGCAACCTCTGGGGTACACCCACATTCAAAATAGTCAAATGCCAGGTCGCTGATACATTTTTAAGAGGTGCCTTGAATACCTTGCAAACAAGCCAACAATGCTGAGCCAAGTGGGAATGGAATCCAGTAAACTGGCACACACCCACTGCCAGAACACCCCCTTTCCTGCAGGGACGCACAGGTACATGTGCACTGAAGTACTGACAGCTTTGAGCAGCTCTGCAAGCCTTAAAGCTGCCCTCCTGAGCTGACCACACACTGACTGCGCTGCACTGAGCCTGGCCTTACTGCTGTGCCAGGATAACAGATGACAGCAAATCTGAAACTGCTGTAGATGTACATCTAGCAGAGTTCTAGCTATCACAGTGTAAGACATATTTTACTTCTGTAGGGGTAGATCTACAATGTAACTCATGTAAAGATTTACTTTTTTTTTTCTTCTATTTCTTCCTTGTTGT